CATAATCATGTGGAATCACACGTGGATTGTATGACCTGATTTCTCTCCATTATTAGTTGTACAAGATATGCAAGATAGATTAGGACTCCTGTAATTATTCTATGTAATATTTGTTTTCCTTTCGTAGTCCTAAACTTTAGGATCTGTATTCTGTACATTCGGGTATATTATGCCCAATGATTGAATGGAAATGTGTGAAGTCTTTAACCCACAAACTCATTCTATGGTTTCCATTGTTTTGTACAATGTTGAGAGTGGGAAGGTTGCTGATGAAGTTTGGCAAGATATTTTGGCTTGCGGTTGAAATATTGTTGGGAAGGTTTTGGAGCAAACAAGGCAAATTTGTTGGTTTCAGGTGGTATGGTATACAGATGGTTTTCAAAGAGTAATTCACAGGACAGCAGTTCAGCTTGAAAATCTTCAAAGGAAATAGGCTTTTTTCGGGTAGCAAGTGATAGAGAGGTAACAAAAGGGTGATAAGAATGGTTCAAATCACTGACAATATAAGTAATTAAATCATCATCATCAATAGACTTACCAACAGCGTCCAACTGTGCTACTAGTTGCTTTGCAGAATCAAGGTAAGTTTCACACTTCATGGAATCTTGATGCAAGGTTTGAAGAAGTCTCTTTAAATAGTTGATGCGAGATCTGGATAGGGAAGCAAATTTATTGGCCAAGGCAAGCCAAGCAGGTCGAGTAGAGGTAATACTATACACAGAAGGTGCTACCTTATCAGAGAGGGTGGCATTAATTCATCCTAAAACAAACTGATCCTTTCGATTTCAGAGAATGTATTCTGGATTCAGAGTAGTAGTTTGTTTCCCTTGGTCATCAGTGAGAAACTGGAAAGGGCATAAAGCCCATTAAGTCATGGCTCTTAAGAACTGGGACAAGTTAAGACAACCACATAAGATATTTAGTCCTATCCAACTTAGCCGAGCCAAGATGACTAAGATCGGGAGCAACAAAGGTAAAGGATGAGGCATCCATTAAAAAAAAAAAGGAGGATCGATCAGATGCATGAGCAGAGTGGCTCTGATACCATGAAAGAATAAAAAAATGTTCTGGCCTAAAGGCCAAAACAGTTCCTCTGTTAGTATATTTGTATGTATCTTGAATTGATAAGATTACATGAGTTTTGAAATACAAAAAATACAAGAAATGAGGAAGGAATATAAGAAATAGAATTATAGATAAGATCAAGTGTCAGCTGAGATGATTGTTGCAGAATTTAAATTTGGTGATAAAGAATTTGTTTCAGGGATCTTTATGGAATGGACTTAATCTTCTATTTTCTCTGTTCCTAAATATCTGTCGTTTAAGATTTTTACACAAGGATTAAGGAAGCTATTAAATAGCTTTAATATGAGTAAAAAATAATTGCACAAAATTAAAATACCCTTATTTAATACGTATTAGGAAGGAAAAGAATATAAAAGACACTTAACCTGAGTAGTTAACAACTCGTAGGTGTGCCAAGTGGAGGAAAAAGGGTTGGGTAATCTCAGCTTTGCGATTGATTACATAACTATGAGTTTGACAATTAGAAATATTAACACTGTGCATTTTGATGGTGTAAAAACCATATGTGCAAGTTTCTTGTCTATAACGGAGTTGAGGTGAGCGAGTTGTTGACGATGTTACTTGGAAATTTTGAAGAGATTGATTTATGGATTCAAAATCCCGACTATTTTATTGGGTAATTCTTAAATTTAACCTTGTGACTTATGATTTGATGAATAAGCAATTATCATCGTGTTCGATTGCACTTCTACGAAGATTGTACTCATTATACAAGACAACTGCCATTAATGGGATCTAAGAAACAAGTGAGAAAGCGCCTAGGTGTTGGGAAGGCTGATTCCTGAAATCAATTATCAATGGGTCTTTGGTTCAATGATTTTCTCTATTTTATAAAAGTTTTGTTTTTTTAAGGTCAAGGATCAAGTTCCCCTCCCCCAAAAAAAAGATTCCTGAAATCAAACCCATATCTTACTGTTGGACAAAACATGACTCTATGAGCAATACCTAGTTAGAATTTTGGAATTATTATTGTTAGCATAGTTTTGGAATTATTTATCGACCCCCTCACTTTTTTATTTTTAAAATATACAAACGCGTTTAGTTTTGTGGCTAAACTAAACCCACTAGACATGAATATAAAAACAAATTGTCGTTTCCAACACAAAATTTGTATTCCTATGGTTGTGATAGTGATATTTCATCTATATTAATTTCATTATGAAATTGTATTAGAAGGTTAATTAATTATTAATATGTAGGTCCAAGAAATTCATAAATTAAGCATCCTTTACTTTAAGCTTTTAAGCCGTAAAAGTCATGTCTTATGACTTCAACAGTTAATCAATTGACATCATGAAAAGGGAATTAAATTGGTTTTGAATGGGAATTATCTTATTAAATAGGTTGTTACTTTGAGTTTCGTTTGGTTAGCGAGCGATTGAGAGAAAGTGAGGGAAAGAGAGAAAAAAATCCCTTCTTTTGTTTTTTTTTTGGTTTTCTTCCAATAGTTCTTGGGAAATTGTTGGATGATGGGTTACTTGGCTTGGAAGATGGGCAATGCTCTCTCTCCCCTAAACACAGCTACCAAACAAGAAATTCTCAGCATGAAATGAGGGTCCAAACAAGGAATTTTTTCCAACCATTAATGAATTACACGAAGGATATACATAGAACCAAGCCTAAACAAAAAATCATTTTTGTCACTGACGTTCAATAATCCATGAAATTTGAAAAAAAATAATCAACAAATCCTACTCAAAGCAACGTAAAATACTCAAACATTAAAAGATGTGGAGGATACCCCTCCCTCCTATTAAACTTTAAAATTACGGGTTCGAATTTCGCCGTTTTCCTCCTTGCAATAGTGTCTAACTAAAATAAAAAGTTAAAAAAGATTCTGAATATACTTGAGACCGGAGGATATATCATAATACAAATATTTCAACCGCAAATTGAACTAATAGTATAGGCTTTAGATTTGAATAATTAAGCAGACTACAAGACATTGAATGTCATGAAATTAGAACGAGGTTGAAGCCAAATTTGGCTATGGATATCGCAGTGTACGTAGGCACTTGGCTAAGAGAATAACTTTATAGAGTTAGTCTTGTGATGGAGTGCTGTAACTAGGGCATGGAGAGAGAAATGACCTAGCTTGGTGGTCTTTAAGTGTGCATTGCTTATAAACAATGACATGGGGATGAGAGAAAAGTGAAGAGCGTGGCCCTAGGTTCATGGCACAAACTTTATTATAAATGGTACATGGTATATGGTATATGGTATATGGTATATGGTATACATGTATGGGTTTTTGTGGCAGCAACAGCATTAAAGAGGAAGAGTAGGGTATTTTGGCAGAGAAATTGTTGTGTTGGAGGTGGTGGCGGTGGTGGGTGTGATGATTATGCTCGCCGGCAGCTTTTTCTCAATTCTCTCTGTCTAATTTCTCTCTCCTCCGAAACCATTTTTCACGCTGGCCCCCACTCAATTAGACAAGAGAAAGTATTGTGTCTATAATGATCACGGTCGTAGAGCATCCATAACATGGTTTTATATTTTACTTATCTAAAAATATATATTTTTATTTTAGTTATTCATTTTTTTTAATATGCACTACAGCAGATTTTTTATATTTTAATTATGTTTTTAATATTTTGTAAATTTGTTGGAACAATTAGAGAGAGAAAAAGAATGGACAACAGAGATGAAAAAAGACAAGAACATAGAGAATATATTATAAACTATTTATATATAATATTATAATAATATTTTATAATATCACTGTACCAAAATTATATTTTACCTATTCTTAATATCTTCGGTTAAAACATGATTTTAGTTTTTAAATAACTAAATTTCAGTGTTTTAAAACCCGGCCTGACCCGGCGGGTTGACCCGGTGAACCTGTCTCCTAATTGGGCTGGTTTTGTAATTGGACCGTTTGAGCAAAGAATCCGGAATAAAACCGGTGAACCGGTCAAAAAATCGGTGAACCGGTGAAAACCGGACCGAGTTTACAAAACCGGCCGATTTTGTTCCTTTAGTATAAATATGTATTTTTTTTACATTCTTGTGTCTTCTAATTTTCCCCTTCTGTTTGCCCTAAATCCTAAATCATTCGTTCAATGTTTGTTAACTCAAAAATTAAGTGAATACAATTAAGTGATTCAAGTTTGAGGGTGGAGGCTGGGCTGTTAATTGAATGCATTAGTTTATTAATTGAATGCAATTAAGTGATTCAGGCTTGATAACTTTGTTTGATTTAATATATATTAAACATGTTATTTTTATAACTATTTTAATTTTTTAGTCTATTTATCATAATTAATAATTATTTTTTATTTTTTTATTATATCACCGGTTCGATTAGTGACCCACTGGTTCAACCAGAAATCCATTGACCCGGTCCCTTCTCCGAGTTGATGTCCGGACCGAATTTTAAAACTATGTTAAATTTTAGCTATTTTAGAGTTTTAACTATTATTTTAGAGATTCTCTTAGTGTCATGTGATCTCTATAAATAATGAAAAATTATTAAGATACTTATTTGACGGATTTACAAGTTTATTTTTTAAATTTTTTTTAAATAATTTCACAAATAATAATTATTAATTAAAAATGTATAATATTTTATATTTTATAGATATCGAGTACCATTAAGTTTCTTATAAGTCACCAATATTTTCTCCATCGTACATACATATATACATATCTCTCTCTTCGTACCCCCAAAAAAAAAAAAAAAACAAAAAACAAAAAAAAACACAACTCCTCCCTTTCTTCATCTGTCTGCACTCTCTATAAGTTTTTGTTGGGGAAAACCAAGCCAAAACCCAACTCCAATATCCTCTAGTAATCATTCTCTATCGAAATCCACTCTTAAAGCCATAAACCATCCCATCTCTTGGGTCCAAACTCCAAAAAGCTCAGACTCATACTCGAGATTTATTTTTGATGTGGGTCTTGGTTTAAACATGGATACTTTGTTTAGACTAGCCAACCTCCAATCTGATCATCAGTCCTCCTTCTCCTTCAACTCCAGCAGAACTTCAAGCAGCTCCAGATCTTTCAGACAAAACCATCGCCAACAAGACGAAGAATGCTACAACTTCGTCATGGATGAAGATGACTTCTCTTCTTCCTCTTCAAAACACTGCTATCCATACCCACACAGCCACCAACCTTCCATCACCCCCACCTCCACCAGTACTAACACAAGCAATCCAACACACCATGCCCATGAAAAAGCCCACTTCTCTCTCTCCCCTGATATAAACTTTGAATTCGCCTCTTCGTTTTCCGGCAAGTGGGCATCGAAGATCCTCCTCGAGACAGCTCGAGCAATTGCTGATAAGAACAGTGGACGTGCCCAACAGTTGATGTGGGTGCTTAATGAGCTCAGTTCACCTTACGGTGACACCGATCAAAAGCTGGCGTCTTATTTTCTTCAAGCCTTGTTCAGCCGGATAACAGACTCCGGCGAACAGTGTTACCGGAATTTAACATCGGCTTCGGAACAGACTTGTTCTTTCCAATCTACTAGAAAGATGGTGCTGAAATTTCAAGAGGTGAGCCCTTGGACTACGTTTGGTCATGTCGCTTGTAATGGTGCAATCATGGAAGCTTTTTATGGTGAGAGACAATTACACATAGTTGATATTAGTAACACGTACTGCACACAGTGGCCGATTTTGCTTGAAGCACTAGCGACTCGAACCGATCAAACACCGCATCTACGGCTCACCACAGTGGTGGCCGGCAAATCTGGTGGTGCCGCCGGAGGGGTGGTTTCTGTGCAAAAGGTGATGAAAGAGATTGGAAATAGATTGGTGAAGTTTGCTAGACTTATGGGTGTACCCTTTAAATTTAACGTAGTACACCATACTGGGGATTTATCGGAATTGAATTTAGCTGAATTGGATATCAAAGATGATGAAGCACTTGCGATCAACTGTGTCGGCTCGTTACATTCTGTTACACCGGTTGGTGACCGCCGGGACCTTCTGATTGCGATTTTCCGGCGATTACAGCCAATGATCATCACCGTGGTTGAAGAAGAGGCTGATCTTGATGTGGGTGTTGATGGGTTTGACTTTGTTAAAGGATTTCAAGAGTGTTTGAGATGGTTTAGGGTTTATTTCGAGTCATTAGACGAAAGCTTTCCTAAAACTAGCAATGAGAGATTGATGCTAGAGCGGGCCGCTGGAAGGGCAATTGTCGACCTGTTGGCATGCCAGCCGTCGGAGTCGATCGAGAGGCGCGTGACTTCCACGCACTGGTCGAATCGGCTGCATGCAAGTGGGTTTAGCCCTCTTTCGTTGAGTGAAGAAGTATGTGATGATGTACGCGCTCTTTTGAGGAGGTACAAGGAGGGTTGGTCGATGACACAGTGCACGGATTCTGCCGGAATATTCTTATCGTGGAAGGATCAGCCGGTGGTGTGGGCTGCTGCATGGAAGCCTTAAATCTTGCTTTCCAAGAATATTTACTAATTTTTACTTATCTTCAATATTATAATGGTACCGCGTTATTATTGTTATTTATAATTCAATAAAAAATAATCAAATAAAAAAGTAAGTTTTATTTCTATACATGAAAAATGATTGTGCAATATGAATAAATAATTATTAAATTATGCATGATTTACTTGCTCACTTATTAAATTCTTATTAACTTGTTATTACCCTTATATCGAATGTTTTTTTTTTCTAAATGATGGGTTCATTTAGGTTTGTTGGAGAGAGAGAGAGAGAGAGAGAGAGAGAGAGAGAGAGAGAGAGAGAGAGAGAGAGAGAGAGAGAGCAAAAATGGTCATGCATGGCTATACATATATCTCACCTATGTTGACCACTTCAAAATGAAAGATCAAATTATCCGATTCAGATCATGCAGGGTTGATGATTTTGAGTGATTTTAGGAATACTGGGACAAATAGTTCCATTTATCTTCGCAATACCGATAAACATCTTACGTTGTCCAATTATATATTGATTTTGTATATAAAGTTTACAAAACGAAATGGAGTTGGTGTAGTATGTGTAATAAGAATATATGAGATGACATCAGCTCGAAGTTGTATATAACACGAAAACGTTGTTGGAATTCCTCCGATGTTACTTTTATTGGAAAATTGTTCTGATATCATGCATTTTGTTGAGGCTACAAAGAAAATGGAAGGAAGTAAAATAAAAAATAACTAAAAAATTTCAAGTTGATTACAATTTACGCACTCAATTTGAACTCTTCACGTGCTCTTCTCAACTTTACTTACCTCATACAATATGTCTTTTTAAATTAATATTGTAAGAGGTAAAAATCGGCAAACCTCTCACACGGTTGAAGGATTGGTATTTTTGATAAGAACTTGATTCTGAACTTGGTCTCCTAGTTTTCTCTCTCTTGCAAAACAAACAAATTGTCCAAGATCGAAGTGTTTCGATCGAAGGTACTCCGATGCTTAAGTCAGTAATGTGATTGAATGAATTGCAAGAAGTCAATGAGAGTTCAGCGTACCTTTCACCTTGACTCCTTATGCTTTTTATAGGTTCCTGTTTAGTTAGAGTTTTCATGATTTTCGATTCAAGGTGGTACACCTTTCTTCGATTAGGCGAATATATTTGGGAAGTTACTGAGATTTTTCTAGCAATTCCTCCTGTCGAGCCTATAATTATGCTCATTTGTTTAACCAGAATCCCTGAGTTATAGGCATTTCTTTAGCACCACGTTTATTGTTTGAACAACTCGGTCTTTATACGGACCGACCTCTACTCTTCCTTACCAAGCTTATCGATCAGCTCGACTTGGTCTTGTTGACTGAATCTTATTGAAGCCTTTCTTACATGACTGGTCCTATCACCCTCACAGGAGACCATTTAATGCAGGTGCACGTGTCATAAAGGTAGCCAACCCCTTCATTTGTCCCCATAAAACGTCTGCTAGTTCTTACTGTTCCATATATTATGATATGAATATACCACACCAATTTGTTATGTATGGATGATGAGATTCCATTGATACAGAGCCAATTCCAATAGACTTATTGGAGGGTCCCATTGGCGTGCATCCAGTAGGAATTGAACCTACGAATTCGCCAATTATGAGTTGGGCGCTTTAACCATTCAGCCATGGATGCTTAGCGGGGATCCTCGTACATGGTGAATAACCAAATTCCAAGACAGGCGCATTTCATCTGTCAGTCGTTTTATGTACTTAAACTCATCATTGCGCATTTTTTTGGGATATCTCCCCTTGTTTTGGCGGTGTGTCCAACATTTAAATATTGCCTTTTAGAGTTCCCTCTTTTTATAAGTGACTTTTTTCATTCCCTCCTTCACTTTATCTTCTCTATATTCAGGCTTCTTGACATCTTCCCTTCCCTATTTCTTTCTGCTTCTTTTCTGCTGTTATGGCTCCTTTACTACCATATGAAGTTCCAGCCTTTAAAGCAAAGTACAACATTCCTGATGATGTGGATGTTTGAGTTGCTGGTAGTGATGAACCCTTAATAGGTTCCAGGAAAAACATTCCCATCCATACTCGAACGATAACATAAGGTGGGGTTCGCTCTCCCTTAGACCCTCTACTACTCTGGGTGTTATCAGCAATGAAGTTGTGTCCCATTCAATGCTGCCCAACTTCTTCAAGTTCAAAAGGCTGCTCTGAAGAGGCTTTTGAACTTGAGCCTTGGTTTATGGGAAGTCTTGTACTATTACATCATCAAATCAACTGGAGACAATTACTATCTTGCGGTGAGGAAGAAGGACCACTACTTGGTGACCCATCTTCCAGACTCCAATAAAGGCCATGAGAATGACTTGGTCTTTGTTTCTAGAAATTGGGAGTACACTGCTGATGTTACTTCATCTTATCGCTGCCCTTATGAAGAAGGTGCACTAGGTGACTGTCTTTTTTACTCTTTTATCATAACTTATTCATCGACTGTTTTTTACATAAGTTATCTCTTGTTTGAAGGCGAGACTGTGAAGGGCAGAATCCCTGAGTCAGTAGTACAAATGGATGAACTTAAAAAAGTTTGGGGCTACAACGATTCTCTTTTCTTTCAAGCTACTCACACCCTGTTTGGGTACACGTCGACTTATATGTCTTTCATCGCTGTGCCGAACCGACCAAATGCTACTCTTGCGGCCGATCGAAAGACCATTCAAGTTGTTTGGGAGTAGAGGCCTCGATCCCATAAGAGAGTTCTACCTGCCTCTTCTGGTCGAAACAAGACTATCAAGAATTTTCTTGATTTTTTATCGACTGCTGAGCCAACCCAAATCGCCAAACCGACTTTGCTTAATGATCTTTCTGTTCCTTTGATTCCTGTGCATGAAGAGGAGCCTACATCTGAGGGTTTTGCTAAATTTGTTCCTTCTGAGCCGAACGCTGCTGCTCTACCAGTCAATGATCAATAGGGACACGTATATACTTAGAGAAAATCTTGCTCTTGAAGTTATGGCCCTTGCTCGACTATTTTTCGAAGAGCTCGGTCCCATAATAGAGACCTTTATATACTTAGAAAAAATCTTACTCTTGAATTTATGGCCCTTGCTCGGCTCTTCTTTAAAGAGCTCAGTCCCACAATATGGACCTTTATATACTTAGAAAAAATCTTACTCTTGAAGTTATGGCCCTTGCTCAGCCTTGCTTCAAAGAGTTTGGTCCCACAATATGGACCTTTATATACTTAGAAAAAATCTTAATTTTGAAGTTATGACCCTTGCTCGACCATTCTTTAAAGAGCTCGATCCCATAATAGGGACCTTTATATACTTAATCTTACTCTTGAAGTTATGACCCTTGCTCAGTCCTTCTTTAAAGAGCTTGATCCTCTAGTAGAATTAGGCTTTGACCCCCTGGGCATTTTCAGATACTGTTTCTACATCGCACCGACCCGTCGATCTAATCAGACTCAAATCCATCCCTAATCAACTTACATCGTCATGCCTAGTTGAGGGTCTAGATTTGATCAGGTGGTTGCGCCTGATTTAAGTTTACTCTTCTATCAAGATTTTTTGTCTCCCTACCTTAGCAGTAGGATGAAAGCAGAGAGATGTATCTTGAAAATTTTTATTAAGAACTTTACTTGTATTCTTATTAGTACGTTGCAAAGATCTTGCTGATCATGAATTATTCTTGTTGAATCTCTAGGTTAAAGGGCACCCTTATGTTTTCGAAGGCACTTCAGAGTTATATTTCAAAAAGGTAATTTTTAGAAATAGAACATTCTTAGGTTGATAGAGTTCCAAGGGCATGGTACCATTTTATGGTCCAATGTCTTGAGCTCATAGTATCCACTGCCCCTACTTGGGCTACTCTATATGGCCCCTCCCAATGGGCTCCAAGCTTTCTATGTGCTGGGTTCTTAGCAGATCCTAGTACGCGCCTAAGGACCAAGTCTCCAAGGGCGAAAGCCCAAGGATTAACTTTCTTATTGTAAGCTTGGGATATCTACTGCCGATAAGATTCCATTCGTACTACAACTTGCTCTCTTTTCTCCTCTACTAGATTAAGGTCCCGAGTGATAATGATGTCATTGTTATTGCTTTCAACAAGCTCGGTTCTCAAGGTCAGTAAACCAATCTCAAGTGAAATTACCGCCTCTATCCCGTAGGCTAATGCGAATGGGGTTTCTCTAGTCGAGCACTGAGGTGTGGTTTGGTACATCCACAAAACACTCAGTAGCTCTTCCATCCATCTTCCTTTGGCATCTTTCAGCCTCTTCTTAATACCATCAAGGATTTTTTTAATGGAAATCTCTGGTTGCACATTACTCTGAGGATAGGCTAGGGTCGAATAGTGGTTCCGAATTCAGTACTTCTGGCAAAAAGTTTTGAAAGGTCCATTATCGAATTGAGTCCTGTTATCAGAGACGAGGGAATTAGGGATTTCGAACCTAGTGATGATATTCTTCCATATGAATTTTCTTGTATCAGTATCTCTGATGTTAGCTAGAGGCTCGGCTTCCTCCAATTTTGTTAAGTAATCGGTTGCCACAAGAAGGAATTTCTTGTTTCCTAGGGCTCGAGGTAATGGTCCCACAATGTCCAGCCTCCATTGTGCAAATGGCCACGGGCTTGCCAATGTAAGCAGTTCCTGGGCTGGTCTTCTCGATATCGATGAGAATTTCTGACACTTTTCACACCGCATAACAAAATGTTGAGCATCCTTCTGCATATATGGCCACCAAAACCCTTGAAAAATAGCTCGGTGATCCAGAGATCTTCCACCAGTATGAGCACCACAACTCCCCTTGTGAATTTCAGATAAAAGATCAGGGATTAATTTGGGGTGCACACATTTCAAGTAAGGGCCTCTAAACGAGCGTCAGTAAAGCTCATTCTTTGGAGATAACCAGTACTTAGCTGCCTTCAATTGCATTTTATGGGCTTCCTTTTCGTCTTCAAACAAGTCCCCATTCTTTAAAAAAGTGACGATCCCGTCCATCCAACTCGACTCCAGT